GATCGAGGTGTGCTCGGACGAGATCCTGCTGAACACGGTTCTGGAGACGTGCATCCGCCATCGCGAGAACACGCGGTTGAAGGCGGTGGTTGCCGCCTACAGGAGATCCGACATGAGGCACCAGGGGGTGGGCGCCAGGGGCAACGTCAGTTTTTTCCCAACCCTCCTTGGTTGGGTATTCGTTTTGAATAGCGCACTGCGGTCTCCAGTCTTTCTCCTCCTCCTCCTTCTCCTTCTCCTCCTCCTCCTCCCGCCTCCTCCTCCCGCCTCCCTCCTCCCGCCTCCCGTCTCCCTCTCCTCTTGCTTTGTGCGGACCTCGCCATCCCTGAGGGGCTGCGATCTGCGAAACTGTCGCCACTCTCGAGGGCTGCTGGTGGGTCCTGCGGAGTGAGGCACCGCGGGGATCTGAGCGGCACCACGCCGTCCCTGGGGGGCCGCGACTTGCGACGCTGTCGCCACTTTCGAGGGCTGCTGGTGGGTCCTGCGGAGTGAGCGAGGCACCGCGGGGATCTGAGCGGGACCTCGCTGTCCCTCGGGGGCTGCGATCTGCGACACTGTCGCCACTTTCGAGGGCTGCCGGTGTGTCCTGCGGAGTGAGGCACCGCGGGGATCTGAGCGGGACCTCGCCGTCCCTGGGGGGCTGCGATCTGCGACGCTGTCGTCGCTTTCGAGGGCTGCTGGTGGGTCCTGCGGAGTGAGGCACCGCGGGGATATGAGCGGGACCTCGCCGTCCCTGGGAGGCTGCGATCTGCGACGCTGTCGCCACTTTCGAGGGCTGCTGGTGGGTCCTGCGGAGTGGGGCACCGCGGGGATCTGAGCGGGACCTCGCCGTCCCTGGGGGGCTGCGATCTGCGACGCTGTCGCCACTTTCGAGGGCTGCTGGTGGGTCCTGCGGAGTGGGGCACCGCGGGGATCTGAGCGGGACCTCGCCGTCCCTGGGCCGCCGCCTCAGAAGCCGTCGCCGCTGCCGCCTCGGGGGCGCAGCGCCGGCGAGTCTCGCAGCCGATCGGTTCGCCACGGAGGGCCGGCGCGCGCGGCGGGCCCCGGACGCCCTGTGAGGGCGAACGACAGGTCCAGACTTCCTCGGGCCTTGGAGAACTCACGACGGGCCTGCTTTGGGCACTTTGCGGCCGCGCCAGCACACTGAGGAGGAGGAGGAAGAGGAGGAGGAGGAGGAGGAGGAGGAGGAGAAGGAGGAGGAGGAGGAGGAGGAGGAGGAGGAGGAGGAGGAGGAGAGGGAGGAGGGAGGAGGAGGGGAGGGAGGAGGAGGAGGGGGGGAGGGGGGAGGAGCGACGAGGGATGATGCAGGAAGGGAGAGGAGGGAGGAGGAGGAGGGAGGGAGGAGGAGGAGGAGAGAGGAGGAGGAGGAGGAGGAGGAGGAGGAGGAGGAGGAGGAGGAGGAGGAGGAGAGGAGGGGAGGAGGAGGAGGAGGAGGAGGGGAGGAGGAGGAGGGAGGAGGAGGAGGAGGAGGAGGAGGAGAGGAGGAGGATGAGGAGAGGAGAGGAGAGGAGGAGGAGAGGGGGAGGAAGGAGGGAGGAGGAGGAGGAGGAGGGAGGAGGAGGAGGAGGAGAGGAGGAGGAGGAGAGAGAGGAGGAGCAGGGAGGAGGGAGGAGAGGAGGATGGAGGACAGGGAGGAGGAGGGGGAGGAGGGGAGGAGGGACGAGGACGAGGAGGAGGAGGAGGAGGAAAAGGAGGATGAGGACAAGGAGGAGGAGGGGGAGGGGGAGGGGGAGGAGCAGAGCGAGAGCGACAGCGAGGGCGAGGACGATGACGACGACAACGCTGGCCCCCGGCAGCTGGAAGGGGGGGCAGCCCCGGCCGGTGAGGCCCTCGGTCCACACCTATGGCTCGCTCATCAAGGCGTGCAGCAATTTGAAAAAGGTGGACCAGTGGCCGCCGTAGCCGATCGGCGGAAGAGTGGGCAACCTGAGGTGGCGTCCGGCCAACATCGCCATGAAGCACAAGTGTGTCTTGAGGGAATTGGGTTCTGAGGTGTTTATGCCGTCAGGAAACAACTTAAGGAAGGCCCCGTGTCCAGGACCCGTTTCCATCAGCTACGGTCACGAACGTTTGTTTAGCGTATCGCGCCGCCGATTCTGGCCCCATCCGCCTCGGCGCGACACGCTTATCACTTCCCAGTCCCCGAGCGTCCACGTACCGAGCTTTTCAGCGCCTCCCGCCCCGCGGAGCGGAACCACACGCCCTCAGCTCGCAGGGCACGGGGCCGCCGCCGCAACACGCTGAGCAGCCGCTCCTGACCATGATGCAGTCGGGGCGCCGAAGAAGGAAACCCTTTTCGTTAGGGGGGGGGCTCGGTGTTCCTGGATGGTTGCTCAGTTTACGAGTCTGGGCGTGCTTCGGCGCAGCCGTGCGCCGCCAGAGTTTGGCCGCGGACGACGGTTCTCGCGCCCCGGGGCGCTCGCCGTCGGAGGCGCGAGGCGTCTTGTGCGAGGTCGAGGTGCGGTGGCTCGCCAGGTCGTTGCGAGTTGACCACTTAGGCATATCGATGGAGCGTGGAAGGAAGGAGCTGGGCGTGTGTGGCGGTGAGGCGGCCATGTCGTCGCCGTCACCCCCTCGTCGCCGCCTGTGGTCTGGGCCTGGGTGGGGGTCCAGCGGCTATTTCGTCGCCGTCGCCGCCCCGTCGCCGTCTCGTTGTCGCCTGTCGTCTGGGCCTATGTGGCGGTCCAGCGGCTATGTCGTTGCCGTCGCCGCCTCGTCGATTGCACCGCATAAATCGCGCATTTTCCTTTCCAGAAAAATTGTAGAATCCCCCGTTCTCCCCCAGACTTACGGTACCCCTTCGCGTATTAGAATTTACACATGATGTTGCCCCATCGTTCACCCTAGATATGAACTCAGTTCATCCCAACCAAACTGGTACGCCCCCTTTCATCTTCTGTCCAAGAATACGATTTGCGCACAACCGTTTATCAAAAAACATGAGTTTTCAATATTCCCTGGTAAACTAGTACGACGAAGTCCGCACGCGCGCGCCATCGCGCGCGCATTCCGACATCCTTCAGAAACCTCAGGCTTCGTAGGGATTTCGAAATCTAGTGTCCCGAAAGCATAGCACATCAATGGTTTCGCAACAAGAAGTTTCAAACAGGTGCGTTCGCGCTCGTGCGGATTCTTCAGACATCCATTGAGTTTCAGCATTTTCATCAAATGCCACCAAACGTGCCTCTCGCGCGCACATGGCTCGAACGTCCTTGCGCGCGTGTTGTCGCAGTAATCATTTGCGAAGAACGGGACGAAGTGCACACGCTCGAGTCGTCGCGGCGGGAATCCTTCAAAACCTTGGGTCTCGTAGGGGTTTCGCAATCGAGTGTCCCGAAAACCATATAACATGCCTGCGAACATGCCTGAGCTCGTGCTCCTGCGAATTCAAAGGAAGGCCATCGGTCTTTCATTTGTTCATGAAACTTTGGACAAGCGGGCCTCGCGCGCCGCATGTCGAAATCATTCGAACGCCCTTGCGCGCGTGCTGTGTGGGCGGAAACGATATGTATCAAATATTGTCACGCGGGCCACTCGCGAGTCGGCCGCGTGCGCATGTCAAACTCCTACCGTGACCTTCACCACCGATTCGAAAATGCCGCTGTCGTCGTCGTTGTCATTCTGGTCACCAGCATCGCTACTAGCATCATCGTGACTACCGTTGTCCACGTTGCCCTGATACCGCGCCCGCCCGAGTCGCCAACTCGCATTGAAGTGCCCGCTGGAAAGTGCCCTTACTATGCGCGCGCATGTGGTTTTCAATCGCCATGAATGTTCAAGAATCACTCCTTCGCCAACGCGGGACGACGTGCACGCGCGCGTCGTCGCGCGCGCATGCCGACATGTTCCAACAAAAACCGCAGGTTTCACGAGGATTCGAACATCGAACGTCCCGAACTTATAGAACAACAGTTAATTTCTCACGCGGATTTCAAAAAAAAAAAATTGGCGCTCGCGCTTTTGCAGATTCTCAACAAGTCGATTGGTTGTTTGATTTGTTTCACAACGTGCTACCAAACGGGCTTTTCACGCGCGTGTGTCGAAATCGTTCGAACGGTTCCGCGCGCGTGTTGTCGCAAGAGCCCTTTGCAACATGTGGGGCGCAGTGCACGAGCGCGCGTCCGCGCGTCGTCGCGCGCATGCCGGAATCATTCAAAAACCGTTGGTTTCGCCAGGATTTCAAAATCGAGTGCCCCGAAAACATTTGTTCGACGACATGGCGCTGGCGTTGTTGCGGGACACGAGCGGGGGGCGATGTTTTTCCGCGGGCGCCAGCGCGGCACAGCGCGGCGCCGCGCGTCATGGCTGCGCTGCTCGGGAGAGCGGCTCAAGCCCCCCTCCGCCAGGGGGCTTCGCACGCGGGAGGGGTTTTTTGCCGCCGCCGCCGCCCAGGGGATGGACCCTGGCGGTGGGCGGCGTCGTTGTTTTTCGCCGCGCGATGGGCGCCTGGTTCCTGCTTCTGGTTGTTTGCTGCATCGGTGGGTGGCTGTCGCCGCTTCGCTTCCGCCGTTCCCTTCCTCCGCTCGCTTCCCGCTGTCCTCGCCGTCGGCCCGCCTGTCCGTCTTCCCCTTCTGTGGTTGGCCTGTGGCCCCGCTTGTGCTGTTCGCCTGGGCCCCTCTCCGCCCCCGCCGCCTGCTTTGGCCCGCCTGGGCCCTGCCCTGTCCCCCGGCCCGCTTCGCCCGTCGCTCCTTGCCGCTTTTCTCACCCTTGCCTCGGCCTGCCTGCTGGCCTGTTTGGCTCGGTTGCTTGGCTTGGCCCTGGCCCGCGCCCTGGCCCGTGGCTTGCTTTTCCCCGCCTCCCTCCTCCGTCCGTCGGTCGTCCGTCGTCCGTCTGCCTGTTTGTCCGTCCTGCCCTGCGGCCTGGCCGCGGTCTTGGGCCCCGCTGCTCGGCGGCTCTTCCGCCTCCGTCCGCGCCCTCGTGGGCCTGGGCGTCGCTGCGTGGCCAGGAGGCGCGCGCCAGGTGTGCACCATGGGTTGGGGGGCCCTGTCTTTCTCGCCAGCGAGTGTCTGGTGGTCTGCGTGTGACTGGGTGGCATGCGCGCGGTGCAGGTGGCGCCAGGCGGGCGAGGTTCGTCCTGGTTGTTTTGTTCGGGCGAGGTCATTGCTACGTGGCCAGGTGGCGCGCATGTGGTGTGGTTTGTGACCCTCCCCCCCCTAGCGAGTGTCTGGTGGCCGGTGCGTGACTGGGTGGCGCGCGCGCGGTGCAGGTGGCACCAAGGGGGCGAGGATCGCGTTTTGCCGTAGGGTTCGGCGGCTGCCTTCGCCCCCGGTACGATCATGGCGGTTTCCTTGTAATCTTTCTTGGGCGACGTGGACGGCGCGGCTCGCGATGCCACGTTCATCGCGAGCGTGGCTGATTGGCTCGGCGGCCATGGGACCACTGCCGCGCAGGACCTGGTCGGGCGAGACGTCGGCGATCTCCCGTCTAGGGATCTCGAGAATCCAGGGCTCGAGCGCGGATTCGTCAGGCGCGGCTCGAGGCGCCGGAGGGTTGGCCCGCGCGGGCTCGCGCTGCGCGCGGCACGGGCGTGCGGTCGCCAAGGCCGCGCGGGCCGCGACGAAGCGCGAGAATGCTGCGCGCGCGAGTGGATCGGCGACGACGCGGGTGTCCTTCTTGGACAAATTGCCCGACATGGGGCTGCGCGGCCTGGGCGCCCAGTTCTGGCCGCGGCGAGCCCCCGCTCCTGCTTGCCGCCAAGCGCCGCGCGAGCCGTGCTCGCGAAGGCTGCCGCGGCGGGCGACTTCCACGCGAAAGGTGCGCGTGCTGCTGACAAGGGCATGGCGAGTTTCGTCTACGCCGACCTGCGGCGCCCCCCCCCGTTGCGGGCTGCGTCGAGGCGGGCGCGCGGCCGCCGGGCCACGGGGGAGACGGGGCCAGTCTCCAGCGAAGTCTCCCAGCTCGCGCGAGCACCGGGGGCCCGCGCGGAAAAGGGGGGGGCGCAACATGCCCCAGTGGCAAGTCGCGCGGAGAAGGCGCGGCGCCCTGTTTGGCGGCGCGCCTGAATTCCGAGGCATTCGACGGCGGCCGTCGCCGGCGGCCACTTGTCTGGCGCCGCCGCCTTCGCGCGCCGCGACGCATGCACGCGGGCGGCGCTGGCCTTCTTCCGCGCCGCGCGGCGGCGTTTGGTCCGCCCCGCTCGCGCGCCCTTGCAGGTAATGATGGGCGCCCAGGAAGAGGGCGTGCAGCTCGGCATCTGCTGCGATTTCGTCGCCCGCAAGAGCTGGCGCGAGCGGGCCGCGTCGGGCGCGCCCCTATTCCCCCCGCCGTTGTTCCGCCCGCGCCGCGCCGCAAGCGGGGGCGCGACCGCTAGCGCCCAGGTGGCGCGACGCTTGACATCGACAGAGAGTCTCGGGTCGCGAACCCGCCCCTGCTCAGGCAGGCCGAAGTGCAGCTGTCGAGGGGGCGCGGGCGCGGCGAGGGCAGCGGGTGGGCCCGCCGCGCCGCGCGAAGTGGAGCGCCGCCGATTCGCCGCGAAGCGTCGGGCGCCGCACGGCCCCGCAAAGGGCGCCGCCGCGAAGGGAAGCGGCGGCCGCAATGGCCAGGGCGATTCTGGGAAAGGCGGCAATGGGAAGGCGCCCCATCGGGGCACATCGCCCGGCCCGCGCCGCGCGCTCACAGCGCCGGGATTATGGCGACTGTCGCAAACCAACGACGCCGACGAGGAACCGCTCGCGGGGCCGTGCCCCGTGGGCCGGGAGCAGCGCCCCGTCCCAGCGGTTTTCGCACGAGTGACTAGGGGCGTGCCACTTGCGCCCTGCATTGGCGCGCGGCGCCGGGGCGCGCGCGCGCCTGCGCGCGGGCTGCGGCGAGCCCCGACGTGTTGTATATTAGGTTAACTTGTGAGTGTGAGACGCTGGCGGCGTCGGCTACTCGCAGACGCCGCGTGCGC